TGCAGGCTAAGGTTGGGTACACCTAGGCAATAACAGCATTTCACACCCCAGGATGTCATCCTATACACAAAGCTAGCGATTGTTCTTTGATGAGGAAGACTTTCACAGTTGGTTAATGTGATGAGTTTAAGGTTAAGGTTAGGTTAAAGTTCAAGGTTAGGTTTAAGATTAAGGTTAGGATATTAGTTAGGTAAGATAGGTTAGGTTTAAGATACCAGGTTAAGGTTAGGTTTAAGGTTAAGGTTAGGTTTAAGATTAAGGTTAGGTTTAAGATACCAGGTTAAGGGTTAGGGTTAGGGTTAGGGTTAGGGTTAGGGTAAGGGTTAGGGTTAGGGTTAGGGTTTAGGGTTAGGGTTAGGGTTAGGGTTAGGGTTAGGGGTTAGGGGTTAGGGTTAGGGGTTAGGGTTAGGGTTAGGGTTAGGGTTAGGGTTAGGGTTAGGGTTAGGGTTAGGGTTAGGGTTAGGGTTAGGGTTAGGGATAGGGCTAAAAGCGAAGATGCCGGAATTAGGTCATGCCGGAATTAGGTCATGCTGGAATTAGGTCAAATAAAATGAAAGTGGAAAGTGAAAGTAAGGATACATACAGAAGTAAATGAAAAGCTGGAATTTTCCGAAGCTCATAACTTCTTTATTTATTATCGGATGGAGATGAGTTTGGTGTCGTTGGAAAGCTAAGAAAACGAGGAACACGATTAAGTGATACTCATAAAACCTAGGTGTCAGGAAAATGGAGAAAAGTTGGTTTTTCTTTGCACTGCAGATTGTGCTTAATAATGGACAAAATGAGAATTTTTGACCATTTTGAACCTCCAAGATCTCAAGAATGGATTGCAATTGATACATCCCACTTAAGTCAGTGAGACACCACAAAAGGGCTCTTGGTAGCTGCAAATTGTTGGCAAAACTGCCTTCTCCTTCTTAAAATATAACTAACTTAACATTTAGAAAATGTACCAAAATCTGAAATAACAGTCGGAAATCAGACCTTAATTTTGATGTTTATAAGGAAAGGACATAAGATATTGTGATAGATTTCAAATAAGGAATTATTTAAATGGAAAGGGATAAGATAACGTCAGATTAATTTTGTTGAAAGAGTTAATAATGATATAGCTTGCGATTATAATTAAAAGCAAAGCATATAAAGTAATACTTTCTTCACCAAATATCATCTTTAACATTGTTATATAATGTTTGTGACCTGACAGACTATTTGCAACCTAAGATAAAGAATATGTGCAGAAGAAACACAAAATAATATGTTTGTAACTGTACTTACAAAAATCATCTTGTTTTAAATTGTTTGCAACACTTTGTTTATCAAATGATCAAGCTGCAACAGAAAATGAATGTTTTTAGAGTTATGGACTTGTCGCGACTACTCGTTTACCCTCTTTTTATATGGATGACGCATTAAAGAAAATAATTTTGCTTTATATAAGTGTGGTTAAGTTAGACGAAGAAATAACAAGCCTTTATTTTGTTACTTTAATCCCTGGTATTTGTACGAAATACAAGGAAAATGTAAATTCGTCACCAAGTCTGCAGAAAGTGTGAAATATAACTTAACATTTTGTGAATGTAATGTACTGTTACATTTGTAACATTGTGTAACATGAGTAGAATAAAGAGAATATAACAAGTCAATAATTGTTCAGTCAAAGGTCAAGGTTATTTAAAGAAGAAGCATACATAAGCAATTTTCATACTTTCCCGATTACCTTGACCTTTGACCTTCACCTAATATTTACGTTCCAAGGTCAGGAGATCTCATGCATTGTCTCCATGTCTTTACGACTTGTCGGGAAGAAGTTTTTAGTTCTTTGTAAACATCATAAATTCTCAGGGGCAATAACTACTTAAAATAGTTTACGAATTATTTCACACTAATAGAATGAGAATTGTAGGAAATGAGTTGCAGACGTTTTTGAAGTTTTTGTATCAGTTTTATATCGGTTTACGATTTTTGAGGAGTAGCGATAACAAGGGTTTACGCTGAAAGGGGCACTGAGTTTGAAAGGGTACAATCTTAGGGGACAAACATGGAATCTCTGAAATGGTATTAAGAGCAGCCACGTAGAATCGATATTGAAAGTGGAGGGGGGGGGCACCCAGAGGAAATTTTTTTCCCCCTTACCTGAACAAGTTGACAAGCAAAAAAGAAAAAAATTACTAATCCAAAGATAAAAATCCTATTTCTGGGGTGTGGGTTAGTTGTAAGGCCCAATTTTTTTTTTCAATGATACCTTTTTTCAGTACCAATTTTTTAGACTACATTTTCCTTGTACAACAAAAAGTGTGTGTGTTGGGGGTGGGGTGTGTGGGGGGGGGCAACCATCCTTGCAATTAACATTTCCTGTAGTATAAGTAAGGTTGTGGAAAAAAGTTTGGGGGGAGGGGCATGCCCCCTCCTGGCCCCACCGTTTGCTACGTGCCTGAAGAGTACATACTGAAGATGCAGAGATGTTTTGAATTTGGTGAAGAACAAAAGAGCTTTATAAATGCCAATTTATACCTAATTTGAATCACCTCGACCTTTGACCTTGACAGGGTTAGCGTTAGGGTTAGACCTAGATTTTAAGGTTAAAGGTCAATGAATAATTTGCAGTTGGCCCCATGTCTCTACCACTTGTCACTTAATAAAATATTTTGATAATCATAAACATCGCAAACATTCAGGGGCAATAATTCGTAATAGAAGTTTACAAATCCTTGCGAAATGTTTGATTGAAGAGTTGACCAAATTAGTCGTTAACATTAAGAAAGGTTTGGAATCTTTATGGTTAATGGTTTCGCAGGAGTAGCGATAAGAAGCTTTTATGTTGAAAGGGGTCGTAATTCCTTGAGAGGTCAAAATTCATATATGCAGTTTCAACAGCAAAAATCTTGTACAAATTACATTTTTATCGACTTGGACAACTATAACTAGTGCTAAATGTTTCGGGAACTGTTACAGATGTTCCCCAAACGCTCCCCAACTCCCTTTTGCTGCCATATTCCCTGTAAGCTTCATTAAATAAAACGAACTCTATGCATTTGAGATTTTAACAACATTTACTCAGAAGTTTACCAAGTTCATTCCAATTTTAGCATTGCACGCTCTGCATGTGAATTCATGTGCATAATGACCATATCACCTTGTCTACACAATTTATATAATTTAATGCACTAAATATTAATGTATTTATTCCAGAATTATTGAGAAGTACGCTCATTCAAGTGTATTTTTGATTTTACTCATTTCACGTGCACGCACGTGCATTCATGAGCATGGTGACCATACCTTCTTGTAGAAGTCCGTTACATGTATCTATGTTCTAAATCCCACCCGTTTGGTTGAAAACCAAGGGAGTTATAGCTGTGTTACCCTGGCCTGGCAGAATCTATAAAGAACAGGAGATGTGAAACACGTTATGTTTATTTGGCGGGTTTCAGTAGTTATATAAAATTGAACATACAACATATGCATTACTACATATACATACACTCATTTAGTCTAGGGGATTTACAATAACTAATTTACTATGACATCAAAATATTACTGACTAGAATAAAACATGTGACAAGCAACTTTCGTTTGATAATTTATCAATAAAATATTCAATAATACCATATCTTTATGTCCAAAACAGCCAAACACATTCACAACTGTATTTGTTTACGTTTTGCCTCAAACCGGAAACAGATTACAAATTCTAATACATGACTCAAAACCGGGCAACACAAGTAATTCCGGAAACAAATGAAATTTTATACATTTGTTAGAAAATCAAATCTATACGTTTAGCTAATACTTTCTGTGATTGTAAACATTACAATTCTGTACATATAATCTGTTTACTATTGTTTAAACTCAAAATAAAGACTTTACACTGAACTCGAACCACGTGACTAGACCATGCTGCTGCATCAAAATATTCACTAATACATTGAAATTCACCTAGTCGCAATATTTCGAGAAACAAATGTTTTATATCAAACATATTATATATCAAGAAAACAGTTATAAACATGTTAACATGTATAAATTTGAGTTCTTACCTATAAAGAACAGGAGATGTGAAACACGTTATGTTTATTTGGCGGGTTTCAGTAGTTATAAAGTCTAACCCAAAATATACCCCACATTCCGGATTTACACAAATCCAAGAGTTATCTCTCTTTGATCATAAACTCTATAACAATATGATATATATAAACTATATAACCTGATAGATTATACAAAAAAAATGGGGGGTGGCTGAAACCCAATATAAACTACGTCACAGCTGTTTAAAGTTTCAGCCAATCATATTGCAGCACACGTAAACGCACGTGTATGCATGTGCATGGTGACCATACCCTCTTGTAGAAGTGTTTTATATCTATCTAAGTTCTAAATCCCAGCCTGTTTGGTTGAAAAGGAAGGGAGTTATAGCTATTTAAAGTTTAAGCGAATCAGATTGAAGCGCACGTGCATGCATGTGCTTTCATGATAGTTGCTATATATCAAATTGAACGATATCCTAATGCTTGGCTTTGTTCAGAATTTGAAAGTATTTCGTCAAAAAACAAGAATGATATTGAGACTTTAGTTTCAGCCAATCAGAGCGAAGCGCATGTGCATGCACGTGAGATCTTGCTATTTTGACCATGTTATGTTGTCTATGTTACTAATATAGTTGAAAAATTACAATTATTTCCTAAGTATGGTATTTCAACGGCCCTAACATAAATCATAAGGTGTTGGAAATATGAATGGCAGAATGATGCGATGACCACCTGCATAATGGGCGTTCGTATGAAATTTAATGTACGGGGTCTGCGCTTGTTGGTTGGGATGGAAGGCTAACTGAAATTTTAGTTGGTGGGTTGCCAAAGCAGCCGGTAATGTTAAACCTCTTCGTTGAAGGCAAAGAAATTGTCTATATTAGCAGAAAATGGGTGGGGCTGTTCCTTTTCCCCTTACTAACCCTGGCCTGATGCCCATGTGCAAAATATATTTCCTAAGAAGAAAACTGTTAGTTGGTCTAGGAGTCGAACCTAGAACCTCCCTTTAAGTAATAAAGGGATGCTCTACCATTGAGCTAACCAACTGAGGTAAGACTTTTGTTCATAAAAACCTACTGAGTATTAGCTCTGAAAACTTAACGGTTAGAACTTACATTATTTAATTAAATGACTTGCTCTTTGAAGTGACACAAAACTCTCAAAATACTATATGTAATCCTGTAATCCTCATTTAAATTAAACAGCCACGAGGGAGATATATTTTGACTGTAATTTATTTTTATTTTTGACCCAAATGACATATATGTTATGAATAACCCAACAGAAGCCTTTGATGACCTTTTTATACCAAATAAAGTGTCATTCGAAATAACTTTAGGTACTTAATATCAGAAATATTGAAAAAGAAATCGAAAATCACTTACATTCCAGATGTATACGCCTGAAATCCTGTACACATACCGTCAAATAGGCTGAAGGAAGTAAACAAATAATCAATCGGAACCCCTTGGGCCTTGAACTGAATTCGACATTAGTAAGAGTTATCGCTCTTACCCTTACAGAAATATTACGGAACATTCCAGTCGTCTAAATAAAAGGACATGATCATCCGAGGCTCAATTTTATTTTCTTTTAATCTTGAATAAATATAATAGTTGTAATTATTAATGTTGTGATGATTAAGAAATAAAAGGAAATGTGGTGTTCATATCATTTTATTTGAGATCGGCGTTTTCAGCTAGCTTTGAATTCTTCTGTCTACCACTCGGCGGTCGTCATTATCCAAAATCATGGTTTGGCTGTGTTCAGAAATACATTTTAAAATCAAGTTATAAAGCAATTTGTTTTAATGTATAGTCTTGTATAACTTTGACGAATTGAACGAAATATTTGGAAGTGAATAAAAAATAATTGATATTGTTTTAAGGAAAAGATGAAACAATTTTACTCTCTATAAATTTTATTATTTAAAATTCATATGTTCCTCATTTTAGAATATATTTCCTTGTGATTAAAAGCCAACAATTTAATAAAATGTTAATTGAACGTTAACAAAATCTTAATTCACCTAGTAATGAAGAAATTACTTTATGAAACGGTTGGAAATATTCGTTATTCCTAGATTATATATTCAAATAATGGAAGAAATTAATTTGATGAATTTTTATGGTTGACATATTATACCAAATTTAGACCAGAATTAAGATTAATATTGAAATTCTATTTTTCCGAAGCTAGATGATATAGCAAAGTTTATTTACATTGGATACGGGCTGAGTTACTGGTCCTGTGCATAGCATGACAGATTTGAAAACCATCGTTTGTCGAGAAATCCCCGTTTGGGGGTTCCGGTAGACTGTTTATCATTGCTTAACCCAGAAACTGTCCACAAAACAAGCCCCTGCAATGTTGAAGGACGGAAAAAAAATTTACATGTAATTACAATGGAAGTTGAAATGACAGCACGCCCCCCCCTTTTTTTATTATTATTTGTTTTGCATACCTGTACATGAATAGAAATTTTTAATTAAGGTACAAAAGTGAAGATGTGAGAAAAGAAACGAATGTAGAGAGCAAGAAAGGAAAGAAAGGAAGGAAGAGATGTATATTTAATTAATGAAATGAAAGAAATAGGATGAATTAAAGAAGGAAAGAAATGCTTGAAATAAAATGAAAATATCAAGATGTGTGAATGAAGAAAGAAAGAAAGGAAGGAACAAAGATTATTTTAATAGAAAGAATGAAATAGGCCTAGTGGAATTTAATTAAAATGAAAGTGTGGAGGGGAGGTTAAGAGAAAAAAATTATGCCAAGAAAACAACCATACAAGCCCAAAAAAAAAAAAGAGTTATGGGTAAATTGCATTGGCCAAACCCGAAAATCCTAAATGGGAGATTATGTTCATAGTTCAGTACCAATTATGATTTCCAAACACCGCCATTGTCCCCAATTTAAGCTTCTGCTACAACATGTTTGTGGAAGGAAGGGTGGGTTTGTGGGTGGAGGTGGTGGTTGGTGTTCTAGGCTTAACCGGTGTAGCAATGTCTGATATGTATATGAAGTCTATATTTAGAAACGAAATGGGGGGTCTTAGCCCTTCCTAGCAACCCCCCCCCCCCCGACGCCTACGTAATGTATTTAGAATACATTTCATTCTTTTGATTAGATATCAGCATTGGCGGATCCAGAGGGGGGGGGGTGTTCCGGGGGTTGGAACCCCAACCTTTATTTGTTGCCAATTGGAGAAAGAGAGAGGAAGAAGGGGGATAAAACGTTTCCCGAGAATAAGTATTTTTACGTCTAACTTAGATATGTATTGAACAGATAGATTCTTACATATTTAGCTTTTCCATTCACCTTTATTACTTTTTATGAGTGAATGGTAGAAAATATTCTACTTATTTTTATATATCTAATATATGACATGTAACATGCGAGGTTAAGGTCATACGCAACGTAGTTTGAACTTTTTGGGGTTCTTCCCTGGAGTTGAAGAGTTCCACAAAATGAAGGACCTATGTGCAATATTTTTAATGTCTATATATGGATTTGTACACCTCATATAAAATTTTTTTTGATGAATGAAAATCGTGAATTTGTGTTTTATAATTATTGTACATTTTTATTTGAATAATGCAAAAATTTTCAAAATTCGATATCTTTTCAAAACCTCTGGTAAGGCATACTGATTTTTTGTCTATGGACATGTAATTATATTATAATTTTAAATTTGGAATATCTTTGAAATCTATCAGTAAGTAAGGTACGTTGCGTATGTCCTTAAATTTGATTTTAGATTCTCGCAATCTTAATTTGGCTGTGTTGGCTATATAGAAGAAGGTGCCTTATTTTTGACTAAATCTTATGAAGGAACTCAAATTTAATTCATTGTTTTATACCCAACCCAAAAAAGAGGTTCAAATTCTGTAAGAAAATTCATTCTACTCTTCAAAAATGCTGCAAATCCATTCAATTTTAAGGCATCAGTAATTTTTTGTAAATATCTTAACTTTTTTATTACGGACTCAGGGTACCTTTTCAATGAAAAAAGGACGTAGAACAAAGATATTATTTTCCACAATCTTATATTTTTCCATACATGTGTGTGTGAATATTTGCCTGAGAGTTTGCAGAGGGGGAGGGGTTAGAGGGACACAACCCTGGAACCCCCTTTCAGAAATTGCTGGATCCGCCCCTGTATCAGTCATTGTTTGTCCGTCAGCCGTCTTAAATTCCGGATGATAAACCGCATTCGGTTTCGTCATTTGTATTTTACCGTATCCGAATAACATCTTTTTTGATGCCTGATAAGAAGTAGTCATCCGATATTTCAGATTGAATTTAGACACAGGTGCTTGAAATGTTATGGTATTCGAATTATATACTTAGCAGAAATGGCTTATGAGTTATAAGTGAATTGTTATTGACCATGTACAGTATAGAGTTCACAAACCGAAGGTGTAGGGATATGTAGTGACGTCATCCTGTTACCTGGCGGGAGTACGAGCATGAATGGATGAAAAGGTTATGTTGGAAGTTATCGTGGTTGAAGAGAGTAAGTTTCGTAAGAGAATGAAATCAAATATGTACGTAAAAGTTTTGTTTAGGTGTGTCACAGAGTACTGTGATACATGACTTTGGGTACTAGGGAATTTTTTTTCTTTCTCGTTCTTTAGTGTGACTAAAATGGGTAGCGAAACCCGGGCCGGGCCGGGATTTTCGATAACGAAAACCGGGTTCTTGATAATCACGAAATAAATACTCATTCTTTCTTCATGAAATTTACGGACATAGTTTATTATTCTAGGATTGGCCTTCGCTGAAAGTTTTAAGTCAAAATGTTGTGTTTTTCAATGATTATCACCGATTGTCCTTTTCCAAGTGACTAAAATGGGTAGCGAGCCCGGATTACTCATTTTGGCGATTTAAACTTAATTTCGGCAGCATATTTATAATTATTTCATTTGGATCTTTGAAATTGAACTTAAACTACCTAAAACATTCAGCTGTTGCAGTAATAAATCACGATTATTGAAAATATACGCATTTTTTGAACACCCGGGATTGGTCGAAACCGGACACGTTCACCCGGGAAAAACCTTTTATTTCCGAAATACTTATCAGAGAATGACATATAAATGAAATATGAATGACTCTTTTTTTAATTGCATATTTTTATTAATTTTTTCCAATTTATTTCTTAAATGTATCTTGGTCAGGGACTAAAAAAAAATATACATCCTTTCTCTGGCAATCCGGAATTATTAATTTGTCATCATGGCAAATGTCCGGTTTTACCTGTCCCGGGTTATGAAAAATGACAAAAACCCTAATAATAGACATTTATTTTCATAATGATTGAACAATTTAACTATTTGAAGTTAATAAACAACCACTAAATGCAAATATAATAAACACTTTCGATGCATTAAGCTTAAAATCGCCAAAATGAGTAAACCGGGCTCGCTACCCATTTTAGTCACCTGGAAAAGGACAATCGGTGATAATCATCAAAAAACACAACATTTTGACCTCAAATTCTCAGCGAAGGCAAAACCTATAGTTATTAACTATGTCTATAAATTTCATGAAGAAAGAATTAGTATTTATCTCGTAATTATCAAAAACCCGGCTCTCAGTTTTGAAATTCCAGGGGCTGTTATATGTTGGTGCCTAAGTCATTGCCCGGGTTTCGCTACCCATTTTAGTCACACTCTCGCGCCGCCTGCCATAGGACTCCTCAAAAGAAAGGCGCACTTGTCTGGGACATCTTTTACCTTCTGTATTTGTGCTTTTCATAGAATCAAGGTGTAACATGCAAGTTTCTTGTCTTATGCTGGCAATTCTAAATTAGGATAGCTTTTTAGAATATGTTACCAATGTAGATAATGTTCACACAGGGGTGAAAGTATATGTTATACAGTTATAGATATCTGCACTATTTGCTATCAATAATTTGACGTAATTGAAGTATCTGAAGCTACTAATACAAATGAGTTGAAAATTTAAGGGTCAGTAAACATTTTATGTAGATTTGCAGAAACCGAAGTTAATTTTGTGCCTCAAGTGATTTTCGCATTGTACGT